GGCTGGCTGGCTATGGAGGGGGGGATCATGGCCGCTCAGGTGGCCCCTGCCGCTGCCACCAGCAGCTTGGGTGTCCCGGCTCCATCCGAGCTGAAGAAAGCGAAGGTGCAGCAGCAGGATTGTTCATCGGAGGAGGCGGGGGCAAAGCGGCGGCGGCGAGAAGCAGTCAGAAAGTGAAGGTCCGAATGCCCCGGCACTGTGTCCACCATAGACTATGTTTGCCATAGTCCGCCTCTGTGTCCGACAGAGGCGTCTCGCGTCTATGACAGACACAGCGCCAGACATCTGAATGCCCTGCCACTGTGACTGACATAGGGCGGCTTTTGCCCGCTTGCCTCACCAGCCATAAACTTCACCGCACGTCACTGCTACTGTGTATTTGGTAATGTCAGTAGGACATAACTGACTTAAACCTATTATTTAGAGTAAACCTAGTTAATTTCATTGAAATATACTTTCAAGTAAATGTGTTTAAAACTATTGTACAGTTTTAAAAAGAAAATCTAACTAGATTTAAAAAAAAAGAAAAATCTAAAAAAGAATTTAGCATTGATTGGCATACCTTTTTAGAAGATTCCCTCAAATGAAATAAAAATCAGTTTCAAAGAATTATACAGTATATTATATTGTACATATTATTCACAACATTTCAGTTTTTCTAAAGAAAAGTGCATTATAGTCCATTATTATAATACAGCAGGGATTTTCTGCTCTAGATAGTTCCAAAGTTCTTCAACCTTTATTTTTACTTCTTTCATTACTGTGTTGAATACTGTAGCTGATGAGCTACAAGGGTCATCACAAGTAGTTAGTACTTCCATCTAAATAAATAAAAAAAACTACTTAAAATGCTTTGTCCTCTAAAACTGGGATTATTGTTTTCTAAGGGAACAAACATTAAAAAAAGTTTCAAGTTTAATTCAAGTTTAATTTTATTTATAGGCCGCCCAATCCCAGAGGACTCCGGGCGGCTAGCCTCCACCCCTCCAACAGTTCTTTAACTATTAAACTCTACTTGTGTACTGCCAACCATACAGTAATACAGATCTACAATCACTTTTTCCTCCCTTTCATTTTGAACTCTTAAAAAAAGCATCCAGTTATTACTGCAAGTATTTTAGAAGTAACATTTAAATTCCAAATTAAATACAAGTTTAAAGGGAACTCCCTGTAATAAATTTATATTGGCAAAAAGAATAATTGTCTACTGCTAAAAGACATAAAGATGAGAGACTGCATATGCATTGTTACAAAGTATGCACGTGATTATAATATGCTAATGTTAAAGAATACTTGGTATATATTTCCACATTGTCAAGTTCCACCCCCTTTTAAATTGACATTAATACATATTTTTGCTCTTTAGAAGTTTCTGAAGAGATACCAGGAAAATGTAGTCAACAGAAAAGACTTGAGCTGCATTCCCAAAATTAACGAGGAACTAGTTGTGACTGAGCAGCTTTAAATTTCTGCTGCCAAATATTTTGATGAATCAACTATAAAGATCCCTAATCTTTTTATAAAAGTGTTAATTTTTTCCCTACATTTCTATGCTTAGGTGGCTGAAATTGATCTTCTGGTGATTAAAATGCGGACTGCTTTTGAATACTTCGCTCTTGATCCATATTAGAGGACCAGGGTGAGGTGAGGTGAGGTGAAGTGTGCTGAGAGAAAGTGATTGGCCCAAAGTCACCCAGCCAGCTACCATGCCTAAGGTGGGACTAGAATTTAGTCTCCTAGTATAGCCATCAGGCCTTTAACCACTAGACCAAATTACTCACACCAATAAGATAAACTTATAAACAGTTATATCTGTTTATAATTGTTACTGAGCAATTGCTGAATAAACTGAAATAACTATTATATTATTACTTCAGATTATTCAGCAATTGCTCAGCAACAATTTACTTATTATAATCCTGATTTTCATGTCTAGTTATTCCTGCTCAAGAATTATTAAAAGTAACACAGTCTGTGTGTTACTTTAATTTACTTCAAGTGTATATGTAAAGAAACATAATTGTCTAGTCAAAACCCTCACCTTTCGATAAGTTGATTAGAAAGATAAAAAGATAGGTTACATTGTTGAAGAGAAAGTTGAATTTTGAGAAACTATCTGGATTCTGTATATATGCTGCCAGATGTTTAAAATGTTTATTTCTTTGCAGGTCTAATATATTTTCCAGAGATCCTGTCTAACCATAGAAGACCAATACAGGACTTTTTTTTTTGCAGTAAACATTATATTACTAAAACTCCCTCAACTTTTCATTTGTAGTAATAAGGCTTTGTCCCAAAGGTGCTTTTTCAAAAAAAGACAACTGAACTTTTTTCTTGAAAACATTTTGTTTCTCATCCAAGAAGCTGCTTCAGTTTTGGCTGAAGTCAGAACTGAAGAAGCTTCTTAGATGAGAAGCGAAACGTCTTCAAGGAAAAACAAAGGAAGTTCAGTTGTCTTTTGAAAAAGTACCTTTGGGACAATCATGATTTGGATGACTGAGAATCTCTTTAGACTAATAAGATTTTGCAAATTTCTAATGTATATAAAAGTATTTGAATACGTGTTTATGCAGGATACTGATAGAAAGATACATTTGGAATAAAATTAAAATTATACTGTTTCTGTCTAATTTCTCTCTTTCTGAGTTGCTACTCTTCTTTCCTCCTAATTTTTTTCAGCTATTTCAATGTGTAAATAACATTTAAGGTGTGCCAGAAAGATTGCCCTAGAAGTTCAATGCATGCCAAATAGTCACCATCAATCTTGATTCACAATAGAGTGAACAAACTACTTTACCTGGGTAATATCTACCCATTTTCACCTGCTTATATCCTTGGAAATGGATCAGTTTTTGGCATTAAAAATAAGTCCAACCTGGGAATCTTAGGTTTTGACAGAAATTGGTAAATGAAAGCTGGAAAAAGTTTCTAGAACTTTGAATACAAAATGCACCACAAAACCATTTATTTTACTTTATGTAACTTGCCTTAAAAAAATTTCGGACTTCCGGTTTGCGCGTTGAGCCATTTTTTGAGCTCCGAAGACTTCAGAGAATTCTTGAACTGTTTTTTGGCACAGTATTGCTGCTTGTGCTATTTGAAAACTTTAAAAAATAACCCTAAACAGATCTGTTGTCTTCTCCTACACCAGATTAATGATGGAATCACATAGTTATGAGACGGAATAATTCATTTTTGGGGCCTGACTGTACATCAACTTGTATCAGCTGGAAACTAACTCTTTTTGTGAACAAGTAACTTTTGTCACTAATCACATCTTTAAGAATGAAGGTTTTCAACATTCTTTTTAAAAAAAGAGACTAAAAAATATCTGGCAAACAGTGAACGACCGTATTTTTTGGACTATAAGATGCACTGGTGTATTAGACGCACCAGGATTTCGAAGAGGTAAGTAAGAAAGCCCCCGTTTTTACCTTGCCTCAGCCCTGCTGAAGCCTGCAGAGTGCTACTGGGGGCTAAGGGAAGGCAAAAAAGCCTCTATTTTTGTGAAAAATGGCCCATTTTTCACCTGTTTTTCACAAAAATGGGGGCATTTTTGCCTTGCTCCAGCCCTGCTGAAACCTGCAGAGGGCTGCTGGGGGCTGAGCAAAGGCAAAAGGCCTCAGTTTTTGCAAAAAAACAGCCCGTTTTTCACAAAAATGGGTGCGGGGGCTTCAGGCGGCCAAAAATGGCTGTATTCAGTGTATAAGATGCACCAATATTTCCACGCTCTTTTAGGGGGGGCAAAAGGTGTGTCTTATACTCTGAAAAATACGGTAAATCATCTTCTACTGTAGTATTCCAAATGTAATAAATGAAAACAAACTATTACTCTGAAAAGTCTATAACTTGCACATGAATACCATCTGGGCCACCTTAAACGAAACCTATTTACTCTTCATACACCCTTTGGATTGAAATTACGGCAAGATAATGGAAGTAGAAAGCAGAATTAAGAAAGCTCTTAATCTAGTCTCCAATGAAGTCCCTTGGTTTCTTTGCCTGAGCCAATAAAGAGATATCTGTCTCGCTATAGTTTAGCATGGCTCAGGGAGAATTATAAAATTCCTATAGATTCACAGTAGCTTGCATAAAGTTAACTCAGTTCAGTTCAGTTAATTTTTGCTTCTAAAATGAAACAATAAATAATACATCCAAACCACTTACTGATGGATTTGACTTTATTGTCTTCTGATAAAGTGGTGTCATGGTTCCATTCTGTGTTATCTTTTTACTTCCATAGTTGGCCCTTTCAAAATGATGATAAACTAATGAAAAAGGGGCAGAGAGGAAACTGATGATCTCAAGTATTCCAAGTTCTGTTCTTTTTCATCATGATCCTAAATGGACAATCACGTAGAATATTTTTTGATATGATTTAAATGATATCTCTCTGTTCTTCACAATGAGAAGAGACAGGTTTTCAATTTTCATTTATTTTCTTTTTTTCCCTTTCTAACACATCTAGGCTGCATATACCTACAGAGGATTTACTATTTTCCTCAATGAAAAAATTAGAATAGGCAAATTGCCCTGAAATACTGTTTTCCTTAATTCTGATTACCAATTACAATGTACTTGCTCAACCAGAAGACATAAAAATAATTTATTTATAAAAATAATAAATATCTTCGTGTTGGCAGTATGTATGTATAAAATATATATTTAAAAAATATACCCTCTAGGTGTGGAGGATTCTGTTCAGTCAGGTCATGCTTCAACAAATAGAATTAAAATCTTCCTGCTTTGAAGCCTTTGGAAACCAATTTAAATAATACTTTTGATATTATCCTGTTCATATTCTATGGCAAGATAAAACACTTTTTCCATTCCTAGAAACTTCATACATAGGTAAAATGCCATATGGGATATCTTATGAAATTTAGAGATTTTGTTATGTTACTTTATTTGGGTCAGCCAAACCTAGGTTTGATAAACTTTTATGAAGACAGATTTATTTAGTTGTCATTAAGGTTATCCCACAAGTTAATTTTACAGGAATACATAAGAAATGTTATGCTCTAATTCAGGGTGTCAAACTGACGGCCCATGGGTTGGATGCATCACACACAGGTTACATCACATGATGGCAACGTAACATCGCGAGTTTGACATAAGTGCTCTAAGTATTATTAGGCATACCATATGTGGCCTGAAAAAATCTGGATGACCACTAGATGGCAACAAAGGATATTATTTTTTATCTCTTTGCTGCCATCTAATAGTCTTCTAATTATTTGCAGTCCATATACAGAATGCTTTCAATTTTAGTTTTGGTTTTTCATTGGTGGGCGGGTGTATCTGTTTGTTTTTGGTTAGGCTGGACATTTGATTTCTTTTTCTTATTGCTACAGTTCTTGCTATTTGTACCATTTTTATTATTAAACATAGTTTATAAGTATTTTATATACATAATTATTACTAAACTAAAATGTATCAGCATCTGTATAGCATAGTGATTAAGGAACCTGGTTAGAAAGTGGCAGACTGTGAAAGACTGTGAGTTTCAGTCCCACCACAAAGCTAGCTGGGTGTCCTTGGGCCAATCATTCTATCTCAGCTCAAAGTAGCCAGCAATGGCAAACCTTCCAAAATCTTGCCAAGAAACCTTTAAGGACTTGTCCACACAGTCACCAGGAGTTTTAAAAAAGTGACTTGAAGGCAATAATAATTAAAATGCATCAGCACATTTAATCATGGGACCTTTGGATAATACTCCTTCTTGCTGTTCTATTTTTTCTAGTGAAGTAGACAAAAGGGAATGTGAATTTTTGACAGACTTTTGTACTAAACTGGAAATGGAGAAAACTGCATGTCAAACAGGTAAGGGTGCTATGACATATGTATAATGAAAAATGTGGTAGAAATTGGTGGCTTGAGTAGTAGAGTTTTCCAATCAGAAATTTCAAAAGTTGTGGGGAATCTACCTTCAAAACATATTGAACCATTCTATTTGATGGGGCCATGAGGACCCAGATTGTTGGGGGCAATATGCTGGCCCTGAAAACTGCTTAGAGAGAGCTGTAAATTACCATGAAGCAGTACAAAGTCTAAGAGCTATTGCAATTGCTGTTTACTAATAAAGGAGGGCAATGCTTAAAAAACAGGCTGAATGATTGAAGTAAAATTTGAATTATAAAGTAATGAGGTTAACATGACCTCTTTCTCTGTGTAGAAAGAGCTCCAGAAATATCTGGAATATCTAACTCACAAAGAGATGTTAGACTAGAAACTGACAAGGACAAGTCTTTAGTCTATTGAGGAACCCCTTCATTTTTCCCACAGACTGTCCTGGATCAAATTAAAACCTGATTTGCAATGAGTGAAGGCTGTAAAAAAGAGGTGTGTGGGATGGGAGGAATATTTTTCAGTTAAATGGTAAAGGACTATATCTAGAGTTGACTGCCTTTCCCTCTAAAACCAGCCTATCCTCAACAAAAATTTGTTTATTTTTGATCCAATTCCATTATTTTAGATAGACATTTTAGTGTTTTTCTGCTTCAAACAAGTTAATTGGTTTATAGGGGGCAGGATCAAGTCTATTTCCTTTAGAAGGGATATAGAAATGGATAACAAAACAATTCCAGTTCAACAGAAAACATACTAAACTGTTAATGGTTGTAAATAAAGCAGTCATCACTGGAAGCCACCAATCCTTGTTCTTTTTTCTGGGGAGATAAATCCACTTCCAGGGAATTCTCCAAGTCATAACTGTATACTGTAATAAGATCCTTAAACTCTGATGTAGATACAGTAAAAGCAGCCAGCCAGGAAGATCATTTTGAGAGTAAGTCACAACTGGATTATTTAATTATTCTATTGTAAATTATTCTCACAAGATTCTATAGAATCTTGGCAGGTTAAATCAAAACCTCATTAAGAACTGTTAACTAGATGCCATATTCAAGATGGGCTCTTAAGCTTAGCAGCTGCAATTAAACTTCCCTATTTCTCTTTTACAGTTTGCCTTTTCTTTGATATTAGATTTTTTTTATTCTAGAAAGAGTTGAAATGCACTAAAAGTGCTGTTACATTGGAAAGCATTTGCTACCAGGAGGAGAGACCCTTTTTTATGTTGATAAAGTCAGCATCAAACCAAGATTTAGGTCTGCTGTGAGGAAAGCTGGGACAAACTGAGAACAATCTTGATAAGGAAGAACAAGACTAAAATATTGATAGTGTATCTATTCCTGCTTGCCTGCTTCTGTCTTAAGCTTTTATAAATTAATTAATTTAAAATGTTGTTTTTATGGAAGTCTAATAATTTTTCATCCAGAAATATGCCACTTCTTTGATGAAGGGTCACATTCCTCAAAGTGGATAGCTCAGGACCAAAAAACACTTTGGGGACTCAAGTCTCTGTGGGGCCAATGTAGTTTATGGAACTCGTGTGCCTCTGCTTCATTTATACTAGTCTGTGGAGCAGAGCTATCAGAAATATATTCCTCACTCCACGTTGTTTCTCTGAATCGGTGAACTACATTAAAAAACATTATTTAAGTCATTCAAAAGCTCGGACTCTTATTTATCTTTTTTTGTCAAAAACTACAGATGGCTACAAGTCATGTGTAAATGTTCTCAAAAAGAAAACACAGATAGAAATTAATAGGAAGAAAAATGTAATCAATAGTGCAAAAGGAAATCATATTTTATATTGTAATCAATAGCATTTTTTAAAAGATAAAACAATCTATGGATATTATTGGGTATTCTAGATATTGGATTATTGGATATCAATGGACATACTGAAAACACTGAAGAAGAAGAAAGATGGTAGTAGAACTAAGTTGGTAATTGGGATGAGGCTATTCCAGAAAAAGTAGTCAAGGGTGTTACTTTCTAACAGTGAGCTCCATTGGACTCAGGATTGCTGCTGTGTGGACATACACAGGATTGTATTATAAAAATCACCTTGCATGCTGAAGATAATTAATTTCAAATAATTAAATGAGCTTATTTTGCTTAAAGCTTGTTTTGGCACAAAGGCAAGCTTTTAGGGTTCCACCCAGATTTCTATGCATACCAATAATAAACTGTAGTACACACCCGGCACATGGCAGAGAATATTATTCACCTGGTACTTGCTACTTCAACACCCAAGAAAAGAAAGATGTGAAAGAGATAAGTAGTGCTGTTCGTTCAGCCTTTGGGAAGAATATGAAATTTTGCATCTTGACTGTTGCCCTTTCTACTGACATAGAATTGTTACTTGAGTAATAAACTGAAAATGCTACACTGATGGGTCCTTGGTGCTCTCTGAGCTTGTTTGTATTCTTGCAGATGATTTGATATCCAAACTAGGTAACATAATCAGTGCATTGATGACACTACCTAGTTTGGGTAATGAAATGTCTGGAAGAAAGCAACCAAATTCAGAGAGGACCCCTCATTCAAAGACTCCTCATTTCAACCCTGAGCTACCAATATTCTCTTTTAGTAGATGCCACACTTTTCTGCAGATGAATGAGACAAGGTCATTAGATGTCCTGTTACCAGCACATTTATTAAAGCATGTTGCCTCTACTATCTGTATGGGGTTTTTTCACATAAGGGGGAAGTTGGTTCATGAGAGGGGGGGGGGGCTAGGCACATGTAGAAAGCATGAGGAGGGAACAGCAATGATGGGCTACTCCATGTATACCCACTATCTGCAGTAATATATAATCAGTAAAGGTATTGCTTATATCCATAGGTATATGTACACGTATATGTATAAAAAATATGCAACATTTGAAATTGAGAGTTATTTAAATTATAACCATTTTATATGATTTCCTAATAATTTACTCAGATATTTGTTTTTTTTTGGGGGGGGGGTTAGAACTTTTTCAGGAAGTGCATGAGGAAGAGGTAAGTACTTTTTTCATTTTCTAATATAACATAACAAATCTCTGTCCCCAAAGGGCTTTTTTATTATTTCCAGCCAGCTATTGAAAGCCTTATGAAAGTTAAAATATAGTAGATTTCAATGTTTAAGTCAATATGTTCAAAACAATAGTTCATATGTTGCCTAAGAGTCTCAATTTAAGGATAGTGAAACTATATTTAAGAATCATGTTGGAAATATAGGAGAAAATATTAATTGGCTTCTATTTTGTTGTTATGGCACTTGGAATAACTTTGTTATAGAGAAAAATATGGAAAAACATTTTAATGTGCAAGTCTTGGGTTTGTTAGTAAAGGTCAGCTTATTTGTTCAAAAGTCTACTTTGTGTTTTTTATTTGCATTACTTTAATATAAAGGCTAGGCTGGCACCAATTAGAGGATATAGGCATAAAATATTAGCTACCTGTTGAAATGCAGATGTTATACAACTTTATATTAAAAAGTCTCTTTGTTAGAACAAATATACAATCAGATATAGTTGCCAGTCTTTTTTCAAGACTGATTTATTCTGACATGTCAAGATTTTAAAAAAAAATCTTAAAAGTTTTATTTGAACTTGCCAGCATACAAATAAGCCTGATGCAGCTGTAGTTTGCACATTTCTGCTGCCAAAATGTGTAACCTGTTACTGAAATGATGAGAACATATGCTAAATATTGCATTATGGCAAGTTTCTTTTTGTTTCAAGTTTCACACCTACAGTAGTTTATTTCCATCAGGAAGCTGGAAACATTTGTAGATTGTTACAAACAGAAATTCACCATTATAAAGAAATATGTTCTTTAGTGCAGGATTCATATTTTAGGCATGTTATTATATATTACTTACTAAGACCATAATTGCAAAGGTTCACTTTTTTCCCTCTCAAAAATATATATTTGACATTTGTCTTGAAACTTGTAGTTTTTTTAAACTGAATTATAAATAGTTCTCTCATTTAAAAGCAAATTCAGGAAAGCAATCTATCTTTTGCTAGCTTTATGTATATCAGAATGGTGACCCCTCTTGCTTTTGTTTCTTGATTTGATGTTTTTAATGTAATCCTTTCTTTAGCAAAAAAAATGAATTTATATTATATGATTCATATACTATTATTGTTTTCCCCTTTCTCTTTCAGCAGGAAATTGGAGGAAAGAGTTCTATCAAAGTAGTACATTTTGGTCTGGTATAAACCAGAAATATTGATGCATAGTAAGAAAATTAAGGTCTTACAGATCACTTGCTGTGAAAAACAAGAAGCTTTCAACTAACAGATTCTGAAATCATGTTCAAATAATTCACTAGTAAATATTAACTGCTTGCATAAATGGTTAAATCAAGGGGAATTAAATGTGCTTGGCTCTGGCTGAATCTTACTATTTTTAGATCAGTCTTATAATTCATTTACCTACAGCAAGGGGCCTTATATTTACTGTATTATTTGTATGTTCCTAGAGCAACATATGTGATGACTAATCACCATCAACATATATTTAGAATATCATAATAATTTTTTGCCCTGAGTGTATTTTATATTAACTGAAGTATTACCAATACTTGTTGATACTATAAAGACATAATAAACTATTTTAATAATGTACTTTGAAGATTGATAAATAGATCTGACTAGATTTTACTTGTATTATTAAACATAATTCTATAACTTTCTTTACATTTTTGTATTTTTATTTGAGGGAGTAATAGATTTTGACTAAAGCGTATTACCTAATGACAGTTATTATAAATAATGTAAAAACTACAAGGTTTACTTTGATTCTTAACATAACTACAATGTAGGTGAAAATAAAACAAAGATATGGTAGAATACATGTATGCACACAAAGATAAGCTGCAACTTTATTATAAAAAGAGCAATATATATTGCTGGTGGTCCAGGCTGAAAAGGTGGTATAGTAGTATAGTAGTATAGTAGTATAAGTTTATTTATAGGCTGCCCTTTTCCCTGAGGGGACTCAGGGCGGCTTACAACTTATATAGGACGGGATACATACAATGACGTATAGAACAATACATAATTAAAAAAATAAAGCAACATTCATCATTCGGGCGGGGACGGATTATAATCTTTAACCCCAGGCCTGACGGGATAGCCAGATCTTGAGGGTTGTGCGGAAGGTCTGGAGGGTGGTGAGGGTACGAATCTCCACGGGAGATCGTTCCAAAGGGTCGGAGCTACTACTGAAAAGGCTCTCCTCCGCGTAGTTGCCAGTCGACACTGACTGGCAGATGGAACTCGGAGGAGGCCCAATCTGTGAGATCTGATAGGTCGCGAGGAGGTAATTGGCAGGAGGCGGTCTCTCAAGTACCCAGATCCACTACCATGAAGGGCTTTGTGGGTGGTAAGTAGCACCTTGAAGCGCACCCGGAGATCAACAGGTAGCCAGTGCAGCTCGCGGAGGATAGGTGTTATGTGGGCGAACCGAGGTGCACCCACAATCACTCGCGCGGCCGCATTCTGGACTAGCTGAAGTCGCCGGATGCTCTTCAAGGGCAGCCCCATGTAGAGCACATTGCAGTATTCCAGCCTAGAGGTCACAAGGGCACGAGTCTACTGCTGGTTATACTAGAAGACTTATATTATCTTAATGGTGTCTGAATAATTTTAAACTGCCCAACTGAATTATTGTTCCATTAATTACTTTTTAATGAGACTTCCCCATCAGTGTCTAAGTCCTTAACCAACAATTACAAAAATAATTCTAAGTGCAATGGAACTATATTACCAATAAGATTATGAACACATATAACTTAATGAAATCCTTATCCGTTGACAATATCAGACAATCATTATGTGTCATTGGGAGTCCACCCAGAATCATTGGGATTTGGCAACCAAATACATGTGTCAATTAATAAAACAATGAGCGGGTTCAAGGTATACTTTATACTAAGCTGAAAAGTGAATTTCTTCTTAAATGGTTTGGAATATGCCAACAATATTTTCCTACCATCAACACCAAAACTTTCTCAGAAGCCAAGAAAGTTAAGAATTGGCAAGAAGTCGGAGTAGCACAGGATACTCCCAGTGATTAAGAAATCTAAGTTTTTCAACATGTTCTGTTTCTCTTTACATTATATGAATTTTCAGATAAGGCTATTCAAAAGACATTCCAACAATTTTGTAAAAATAACATATACACTCAAGGTATACACACAAGACACTTCGCGACAGATCAGCTTTAATGGTTGCTCTAATGTTCTGAGAAAATTTTTCCCATAATAATTATTATTTTGTCTTTTAATTCTTCAGAAATTCAGATTTTTAATCTTTTGCTTTTCAGGCACGACTGAGAAGAAAAACGTACTTTACTTTTGGCATAACTACATTTCTCTTTGCATATTTAAGAATGTTTTTTCTGCATCACAATATACCATATTTTTCGAAGTATAAGACGCACCATAGTATAAGATGCACCAAGATTTTGAAGAGACAAATTTTTTTAAAAAGTTTTTGCACTTTGCAAACCTCCCCAAAACAGCCCGTTTTTTAAAAAAGGGCATGAATAGCCTTTAGGAGGCTTGTGGAGTGCTCTGGGGGGGGGTGCCCATTTTTCACAAAAACGGGCCTGGTTCTTATCAAAAAAAGGGCATGCATAACCTTTAGGAGGCTTATAGAGTGCTCCTGGGGGATGGAGGGGCAAAATTGAGCGAAAAATGACCCATTTTTCACTCATTTCTGCCCTCCCCATCTCCTAGAAGCACTCTGGAAACCTCCTAAAAGCTATGCACAGCCATTTTGGTGAAGGGGCGGGGTTTCAGGATGCAAAAAATGTTGTATTTAGTGTATAAGACGCACCCAGATTTTCAGCCTCTTTTTTAAGGGAAAAAGGTGCGTCTTATACTCCAAAAATATGGTAATCTTTCTTTTGCAGTCTGAAGAGTTAGTTATCTTGATCTTGAAATCAGAATTATTGGAAGTTAAAATGTCTCTGCAAAATGAAAAGAAGGAAACGTTTTAATTTTTTTTCTTTTAATAGATGATTTGTCTGATCTGCCTTTTAAATATAGCGTCCCTAGAATTTTAAAAAAATTAAATATATAATTTATATAATATGAATAATGATTTAATGGGAAAAAAGAAGAAATAAAGCATATTTATCAGTAAAGGTCAGATAAATGCATTAAATACATGCTAAAAATCCATGTATCCTTAGTAGCCCAGTAAAATACATAAAATTCTGAGTACTAACGGATAAAGATAGGTACATGGAAAAAATAAAATATGAATGAATCAATAATAATGATAGTAATAAATGGATTAATCATATACTGTTATATGATTTTGTATTAAATGCCTTTTTCTCGATTTAAGAAGAGCATATGGCTCATAACATTATGTGTAAATGCACCTTTTTGAGATTGATCAACTCCAACAAAAGATCCAGGGGGTCTTTCACTTATTCACCCTAAGGATGCTGACATATGTTACTTAGCCTCAGAGCTATTTTGCTGAATTGCAGCCATATTTCTGTCAGTTCGTGTGATGGTCTGTATGAGAGATTAATCTGACACTAGACAGTGATCCTTAATCCTTCAGTATATCATAATCTATTTACTTTGCATGCTAAAAGGGATCTGATTTCAAAACACACAGGAAGTAATGCTGGAAATATACAGGAGATCAGGAGTGTCATTTCCTAAAATCTCAGTTTTCAATTTTAAAAAAAAAACCCTTTACGGATTTCTTGTAGTTCTGTGCTTTCAAAGCATTGAATGGGGATTTAGCTAGAAATGGAACATGGGCTTTTTCTCCTCTTTTTATACAGCCCTACAATTGTGTGTACTCCATCCCTCTGCATATGCACATGCTTATTGGATGTGAAACATTAAAAGAAATTCCCCTGTATTGCAGAAGATATCATCTCTTGGCTATTTTATTTATGTAGAAATGTGTATGTACCAGACCTTTTTTCCAAAACTGGATAATATGTCAAAATTTAAATTGTTTGTTTATTAATTTTTTTATCCGCCCATCTCCACTACAAGGTGACTCTGGGAGGCTTACAGATATGCAAATAAAAAATAGATAAAAGATTAAAAACGTAAAAGAGTTAAAGTATTATCAAGAATTATATTAAAACTAAACTAAGAGAGTTTAGTATTTTTTTAAATCTCATCATGCAATTAATAATAAACTGTGCAACCAATTAAAAAATACAGCAAATCTGCCTATAATATGACTGAAATAACTAAAAAGAATGTAATATCAGCACCAGGGGAAGGATATTTTAATGGATGCATTACACACAGACAAAAACCCTTGCTTCTTGATAAGCAATATACATTTTCCTAATGGAACTCTAAAGGTTGGATTAGTTGTATCAAGATTTTAACGAATAGGCAGTATTTGAGTCTCAAACCATGTAAAATGAACAGCAGTATTTTGAATTCAGAAACAAGAAATTATTACAGAAATTCTGGACAACTGGAATCCAATCACCTAATTCTGCAATAATTGAAATTTATAAATAATGCTCAGGAGAAACCTTATAACGGGGGTGTCAAATTCAAGGTCTGTGGGGTTCTTAGATCTGGCTCATGGAGCCACTCTAGAAACAGCAATGGACTTTCCCACAGTGCCTCTGCCAGCAAAAACGGAGCTCAGGAGTGCCACAGGCGGGCCTCACAAGTTCCATTTTCGCTGGCAGAAGGTTGCAGGAGGCCATCACAGGCAAAAGTGGAACTCACGAGCGTTTTCACTGGTAGAGCATTCGGGCCACCACAGGTGCCTCCGACACAAGTGATGTTGAGCTGGCCATGTCCATCCTGGCCCCCCGAGGTCAAACATAATCCTGATGCAGCCCTCAATAAAATAGAGTTTGACATCCCCACCTTATAACAATCCAGTCGGGCCAATATGGATCTCTGTCATGATATTCCACCTCAACCCAATTTACAAAGCCTAAATTCAATTTCTTTGTATCCGTAGCCTGTCCATTACATCCTACAGTATGTACAAAATGTTAATTTTGGCCGTGCTATTTGTTTTGTTTAGTACTAAAGGAAGATGTGTTCTTATAAGCCTGTACCATTTATTCACACTGGCAGGAGCATCCTAAGATCACAGACAGATTTTTTTTTAGTTTTGCTACGAATTATTTTTAACTTTTAAGCTCCGTTTTTTAAAAATAGGATGTGATATAATAATATGCTCCACTAAAAAAGGGTTTATCTTTTCCAAAGTAGCCTTGCTTTGTCTTAATTATTCCAATGTAGTTCACATAGTCAATACAGTTAAGAAGATGGATGGAAAGTTATTTTAATGTATAGCAAGATAAATTTCTGGTGAGGCATCTGAAAATGTATTTCATCTCCAGTGGAAGCCATTAATCATTTCCTCTCACTGATACATCTGCAGAGGCTTTACTGGTCATTTAAGATGGATCATCAAATGAATGACCTTACGTAGAAAGAAAGAAATTTAGCCAAACTGGTCCATAAAATGTGATATATATTTAAGAATGCAAAAAGTCTCAAGTTCTTGCTAGATTGCCTTCCTTTCTATGCATTTTCCCCATATAGATGACAATCAAATAATGTCAAACATGTTCTTAAATTAAATCCTTAATTCTTAAACTAAATCATCCTTCTTCTGCCTTAAAGTAGCATGTCGGTTCCCCAAAAGATGCAAGGAAGAAAAAACAAAATATT